GAGAAGGGGTTATCAAGATTTGAATGAACAACTTACATAATGTATTGAAATATATATTGGTTTAAATTACCAAAAATTAACACGCATAAATCGCTATAAATTTGTCCGGTAAAAGGTTCTCACAAAACATTATGCAGTATAAAAAAGGATGCAATAAAATACCACGCATAAGCAAAGCATATGTAATCTCAACGTATTTTTTCCATTAATAATAACTCAAGCGCTCCATGAAAAATTTCGATTTTATCAGAATTTATATATAATGCACAAGTAGCTTGTAAGTTACCTGAACTTGGAGGTGTTGCTGCCCAAATTTATCAGATATATCTGACTGCTGATTATGCCTTTGGATGAGTTGCATCATGCTACCAAGAAAAAAAAAATGGAAGAATGATTATTTGCAAAAATTTGGGAAAATTTCAAAACTAGTCCCACAGGTATAGGGGGTGACAATTTTGGTCCCAATGAAATGCAGAAAATATGAATAGTCCCACAACTTTTAAAAAATGATCAAAAGTAGGACTTTTTCGCCGGATTTACTATTTCCGGCCCGGAACGCCACGTGGCATCCGACGTGTTCATATTTTTTTACAAGTTGTGGGACTAGTTTTGAATTTTCTGCATTCCATCGGGACCAAAAATGTCACTCCTCTATACTTGTGGGACTAGTTTTGAATTTTTCTCTATCTAAGAAAAAATTCAAAACTAAGCCACGTGTGCGCCATGTGTGCGCCAGCGTGTAAAGAATAAGCCACGTGTGCGCCACGTGGCGTTCCGGGACGGAAATAGTAAATCCGGCGAATAAGTCCTACTTTTGATCATTTTTTAAAAGCTGTGGGACTATTCATATTTTGTGCATTCCGTCGGGACCAAAATTGTCAACCCCCTATATCTGTGGGACTAATTTTGAATTTTTCCCGCAAAAATTTCATATATATTTCTTCATGTAATTTTGCACTATATCTAACAATAATAGTAATTTTAATAAAAATCTAACAAAGATAAATTAGGGAAGCACTTTTATTGTTGATGTTCCACTTGAAATAGTTATTATATTGTTCCATATGATATGATAGAGATATTTGTGAAATTCATCTCATGTAGAGTTCCATGTTTTTCCTGAACACATCAATCTCAAAGTCCAACACTGAAGACATCAGATTCAACGTTCAAAACAAATAATTAATTAGGTTTTATAACCTTTACAATGTGATTAATGTTTAGTGTGTTTTTGTGCTTATTTTTTTGTGTTTTATGTGTTTGGTCGAGTTGGTTTTATGCTCGTTTTAGTGTCGACCGGTCCATTTTGTCGTATTTTGTGTATTTTTATGTTCGTTGTGTGTTTTTGTGTTCTGCCGTATTTTTCTCGTCTTTTTGGTGTTGTGTAGGTCCACAATATTCGAATTTGGGAAGAGGAACCATGTACCACGCGAAACATTTCTGAGCATATTTGTTAATTGCGTGGTGACATCTATTTGCGCATCTCAAGACAAGGAGAAAAAGATTTAAGGAGCGTGGGTCAAAGTTCCGAGTCAATCGGAGAAGTATGCGAGAAGTTAGAGCGAACTGAGCATCGAGAGGGAATCAGGACCATTTCCAGCGCCCGCGAGCTCGCGTCTGTTTCCACGACCTAGAGAGTGTGCCTGCTGCACCAGGACTCGCGACTTCGCGGAGAGACCCGCGACCTCGCGAGTGTCGTGGCTGCACTCGCGACCACGCGGGTGAGCCCGCCGTCTCGCGAGTGTCGCACAGCCCCTGCCTCACGCCTATCATCCGGACTCGCGACTCGCGGCCTCCTCTGCGACCTCGCCAGTGCCGTCCCTGCATCCCCCCCATCACGCGACTCCCTCTGCCACCGTGCGAGTGCTACACCATCCCAGCTCGTGCCGACTCGCGACCTCGCGAGAAAGTTGGAGACTTCGAGAGTGCTGTTTAGTAATTGTATGTGTTTTTAGTGTGTGTTTGTGTGTGTGTATAAATAGACTATTGTGTGTGTGTTTTTGGGACACCCCCCTCATTTCCCAACTCTTGGATTGGGAAAATGCTCTCCTTCTTCTCTATTATTTTGCTCTTGGTTAGGAGGTGCAATACTTGACATTTTCCGGCAAGTTTTTCGGCGACTTTTCCGGTAACTTTCTGGCGACTCTCTTTTTATCTAAAATTCGTTCTCTACGCAATATTTTCGTCCAATTTTGCTATAGAAAAATAGGTACCTAGCTTAGGGCTTATTATTTCGATTTGTGAATTGATTGGAATGATGTGTTTAGGATCGTTTTTAGACTTTGCTTTATTTTCATTGCATGTCTAAGTGTGTTAGGGTTTGATACGTGCTTATCTAGTATAGAGGTCTCGACTTGCTCGAAGCGGGATGATCTAGGGTAGACGGCTCGTGTTAGAATACCTAGGATCACTAGGCTCGCATATTTTCTTTTTGTTATTTTTATTTTCGTCAAGTTATGTAGACTCCGTGCAACCAATGTTCGATCTTTCTTTCGATTCTTGCATTTTCATCAATTGCTTTTAGATTATTAGCATAATTTAGTGTAATCAAACCTACAATCAAGCGAGTAGAATGTTTAGGACTTTATTTTCGGTCTTGTGAATTGACGACTAGATAGTGACGAAACTCCGAAGAGCCTTCCTTTGAGAACGACCCGAGTCGGGTAACTCGGTTACCACATGCCCAAAAATACTACAAACAATTGAATATGAATTTGATTTGATTATGACTGAGTTTTATGTTAAACAAAATTAATTTTTTTTTAAAAAAAAAGAAAAATTGGTATAGTTAAATGTTAGTGAGATTTTAAGTTTATGTTAAAATAATATTTAAAATAAAACAATTTAAGTTGATTTAGTATAAAAGTAGAAGCGAGATGATGTAAAGTGATGATTAGTTAAAATTATGCGAGATAATAAATAGTAAAATAAGGTTTATATAATTTGTAAAAATGATTGATTAGTATTATTTAAATATAGATACTATTGAGTATAATATGATTGAGTTAATGTTCGAGTTTTGATTTTTTTTTTATTGAATTTATATCCAATCACACCTTTAAAGTTAAGACTCAGTAGATGTATTACTTATTTAAATTTATGTAAATATGAATAATATGTGAATTTTTTACCAAAAACTAAAATGTTATTAAAAAATAAAATTTTGTAACCGCAATTTTGATTTATTTTTAGCAATATTTTTTTTATTATTATTAAAGTGTCTTTATAATTTGTTTATTAATTGATTTGATCTGATAATATATTAATTAAAAATATTTTTAGTTATTGAAATAATAGTTTTATAAAACCTAACAATTTTTTTAAAAAAAAATAATTTAAGGAAAAAGTAATTTTTCTATAATATAACTGTTTTTACAAGATTACTCTAATTAAATTTTAAGAAATTTTTTAATAATATGTATGATAATTGTAGCCATTTATATTAGCTTACACACACACACACAACATTATATTATATAGTTTTATTGCATTTTGTTAGTATGAATAACACGAGAATATTATTTTATCTTAAATCTACTTTTTTTCGTCATAGCACAATCCATTTATTATATTTACAGCTATTAATAATATATTATAAATTAATAATAGCCAAAATGATTGTCCTATACTAACCCATGCTGATATTTTGTTAACCGGCTAATTTTATTTTATATTTATTAATCTTTATTGTTTAGAATATTATATTTATTATTTTATAATATACAGAAAAGTAAAATATAATTAATTTACATTTGTATTCTATAATTTATAATCTAAATAAATGGTCTTTTGTTATAAATACTTACTATATGATGAACCGTGAATTATTTTCTTCATAAAAATTAACATGTAAGGGAAAAGATAAAATATTATGGGTTAATAACTTTACAGAACTGAGTTACTATTTGAATTAATCAGGTCACAGTTGGGTCATTAGTAAAACACTTCCAAAACATGATATAACTTGAGTTACATATGCCAAATTACCATGTCACATGTTTACTTGATCACACAAAATTGAGTTTTTGAAACTAAATATGAATTTCAATAAAATTAATATATTGTTATAGTAAATATATAAGTTAGTGTAATTAATCAAATTATTTTTTTCTTTTACAAAATTTCAGTAATTTGTATCTTTCTTAAATTAATAACTTATATTAATTAATTTAATAAGAATTATATTAAAATATTATTAAAATAAATTATATGCAAAACAAATAATCTTAAATTGATATCATAATTACAGTTTTAATGTGTTATTTAGTTTATTTAGTCAGGTAAAAAATTAATTTATGTAAATGACTTCATGTAAATAAACGCATATATATACAAATCATACACTATATAAATAAATAGTTTTTTTTGGTCTTTCAAAACTAATTGCCTAGATTTACTATGCAATAGCATAGCCAACCCTTTAGAGATGCCAATGTGGATATAATATTTCCATGATATATAAAAATTAAAAGCTTGAATTAATATATAAACAGGCAACAAAATGAAGTTATAATTTTTTTAAAGTTACTTATAGAATTTATACAGTTGAAGGATCTTGTACTGACCATTTTTTCTAAGAGGATTGCAGAGGGTAAAAAAATGTCTTGCACAAAATCAGCAATCTTCACACAGGAGATAACATAATTTACTATATTTTTTATTAAATAATTATAAAATTAACAAAAAAATTATATCATGAATAAAAAATGTTAACTATATTATTTCATGAATAAAATTATTTTTATTAATTTTATAATAATTTAATATTAAAAAAAACTAAAAGAATACCTATTAAAAATAACACATAACAAAATAAAAGTAACTAAAAATATTTTGTAATTTTATTTTAATGTATATTGTATCATTATTCATAATTGAAATTTATTATAAATAGTTAAATAATTATATTTAAAGTTGTACTTTTCGGGCCTTTTGGGCTGGAAATCGCATCAAAAGTTTGTACTTTTGATTTATTTTTTAAAGTTGTTGGACTTTTGATTTCCACTATTATGTCGGGACTAAAAAATGTCAACCTCTTATATGTGTGAGACTAGTTTTGAATTTTTCTCCACCTTCGAATATCAACACAAGTTTCAAATAAATTAGTGGATTTTGTCGATGAGGAAAAACCAAACAAAACAAGATAGTATTCACTAATTTTAGACAACTGATTGGCCAAAAATTGACTCTGGAAGTCAATGGTAGCAAATTCCGCATTGTAAGAAACTGGGTGTTACGGGTGTGGTTAGTAAGGAGTAACTCACTATACTTATAAGTTAGGCATATTTTCCTGTATAAGCTAGGGGTGCACAAATTTCGGTTAACTGAGCCGAACCGACCGAAAAAATCAATTTGGACCGACACCGAAACCAAATATTTGGTTAGGATTTCGGTTTACATTTTCTTAAAATTTTGGTTTTCGGTTCGGTTTGGATAATTGTGATCGGTTAACCTAACCGAACCGAGAACTGATTTATACACATATATATACATGTTTTTTATTTATACATATAAGTTATAAAAGCATTAATTTGCTTCAATGATTGATGTTTCAAGCTTAAATGACCCTTAAATTGGCTCAAGCATTAATTTACAATCAAGATTGGTTTCGTCATAGTCGAAGTCACGGTTCGGGTCCGAGATCTTCCTTTGAGAAGAATTAAAATTTATTGAGAAGATTAAACAAGGTAATAAAAAATTAAATTTTTTGGTTCGGATAAAACATCAAATTTTTTGTTCGGCAAAAATTTCAGAATTTATTGAGAAGTTTAGTTATTTATTGCGATTAACCGAAAACCGAACCGAACTGACCGCTGGATTTTCGGTTAAAAACTGAACCGAACCGTAAATTTCAGTTTAGTTTTCGATTATGATAATGGACAAACCGAATTTTCGGTTAATTTCAGTCGGTTCGGTTTGGTTTCGACCGAATGAGCAGCCTTAGTATAAACGATGTGGGACAACTCACAAGTGATTATATAGATATATCATAATAAGGTTCCATCCAAAAATTAGGTTTGTTTTTCTTGTATAAACGATGTAGGACAAAACGCATCACGGCATAGATTCCAATGATCCAGATGTCCTATATTTTATCAGAAAAATTATTTGAAACTTTATGAAATAATTTTCTTATGAATGTAATAATGTTTGAAAAGGCCCAAAGGTCACATCTCCAATCACAAGACTTTGACGAATAACAACTAGAGGCTTAGACTATGATATTTTCGACGATTGGAGATAGTATGACAAAACAAAAGAGGAAGCTGGATAGATCAGATCGAAAACTTCACCTTTATATATGCAAGAAAACGAAGCTTGAACCAAATTGACACAATATATATAGAAATACATATGTATGCAAGCACCTTCTGAATATAAGCGATTGATATCGATGCTTATTTAAAATAAAATACAATATTTTCAACAATGTAAATGATGGTTAATAAGAGTGCTATGCATCGGGTTTCTTATTTTATTTCTTTCTCTTGTTTCGTGTAGGAGTTAAAAATTCGAGCTACTTATTTAGACATTTTTATTTTATTTCTTACATTAATTGTTCGTTTGGTATTTTCTTTCATTAATTATACCACATAGTGTTAATTACTGCAGTACGTGAGTTTATCCTAAAACAAATATGATCAACTCCATAATTAAAATTTTAACTACCTATTTAAAAGCCTCATAAACTTGTCCTTCACTACACATTTTTTTGATGCATATAATATCTAAAAATAATGTACTCAAATTTATTTCTTTGTGAAAGAGCATAAAAGTACACCGAATTATGATTATAATTCTAACCAGAACCATTTCCAAAAGTAGTAATTGTTTCATTCTATTATATTTAATCTGTATATTGTACTTACAATTAATGTTATTACAGTTCTTCTACATAATCACTTCTCAAGAAATGACAAGAGTTTTCACTGCCAAATTGTACTATGTGATGGTAGTAGGCAGCAGCAAGGAGGGAAAGCCACTAGTGTCTATTTGGGAATTGTAATAATCAAATATATTAAAATTATTATCATAAAATCATATGAGACACCAGTTGTAAGATTAATTAGATATTCCTGTAGAAGGGGGATTTTTCCCAAATCAATTATAAATGATCAAGATTTTTATTTTATATTTTATATATATTTTGAAACACTGTTTGTTCTCCTTTTTCACTAGTACTATGTAATATGCTAATTGCTAAATACTATGCTCTTAATTGAATTAGAAGATGAAAATATATACCATTTATTTTTTACATGAAAATTTTCCCACATTATTTTCTTGAAACTGTATAGGCTAAAACGGTTCATACAAAACCTAGTAAAGGAAGAGAACAAAATTAACATTGTTGAGTGTGTGATTTAGAGAGGAAGAGAGAGAGAGAGTAGAGAAGAAATACCTTGAGCTAGAATAATTGAAGGCCCGGCCCGTGGCGGAAAAGACGATAAGGGCAACTTCGGCATCACAGAGAGTCGAGAGCTCCTGAGCTTTCTTGAAAAGCCCTCTTCTCCTCTTCGAAAAAGTCACTTGCCTTGCGGTCAAGTTATCGATCTTCTTGATCTGAATCTTTTGCCTCACCATGATTTTTGAACAAAATTAAACAACCTATGCAAAAACCCATTTACACAAAACCCATGATTATTCAAGAATTTTTCTTTCTTGATGGCTAAAGGGTTTTTTCTTTAATTTTCTTCAAAATTACATAGTACAATACAAGATAGAGGTTGAAAAAGAGAGAGAAAGAGAGAGATGGGTTTTTAGTAAAACTATACATGGTAATAATCTTTATTTTTATTTTTAAAAAGCATATCTTCAAGTACATCAAATAATCTTATATATATCAGAAACCCACCTTCTTCCCAAGAAAATCATAGAAGAAAAAGGGAGAATTGCATTACACCCAAGATGGAATCTTTTCTAATTATAAATATATTAGTATGAGAAAAAAATAGGGGGCAAGGCAAGAAATGATTCTATCTTTTCTGGTTAAACGTAAAAATAGAAGCTTTTATAAGGGGCTTGGGTTTGCTAATTAAGGGAAGAAAATATGACATCACCTGCAGAAGAGGAAAAAAAAGCTGAAAGCCCAAAGCCACCAACCCTAGCGAGAGAGAGAAAGAAGATAAAAAAAGGTATTTTATCAAGTTTTTGAGCAAAGCATATATAAATGAGCTAAAAGCAGCTAAAGTGGCCACTTGGCTATGGGGCGTGGGTGGTGGTGGAGTTACCTGGGAATTTGGAATTTATGGTTTATTTAATTTTATTTTATTTTTTTTGGTATAAGGTTTATTTAATTTTTGAGAAATGCTACAAGTACATAATAGTGTACATAGATGTGTACACAACATTCATATTTAGTGGGATCCTATCAAAAATAAAAAATTAAGTGGACCTCACTCTATGTGAATGTTATGTACACCTCTATGTACATTTATTATGTACTTGTAACATTTTTTTTAATTTTTTTTTCAAACGAAAACTCTTGATATTAACTTTAAAGCAACGTACAACCGATAAATCAAACTAACCAACGAGTTAGAAAGAAAAGAGCAGGGGAAAACAACACATGGATCACTCTCAACGGCCAACTTGACCATTAAATATTACAAACAGAAAGAAGACAAACCAAAAATACACATAGTTTAAAACAATTTTTAAGTTCTATAATATCATCAACCACCACAGAAAGAGAGAAGAGAGGGCACAACATGTAAATGGGAGTTCAAATTAATCACCACCCCCTTGTCCTTGAGAATGCATTGAACCTCATCCGACTCCTTTGCCTTAGCTTCTTCCAATGCACACCTTACAACTAGCAGTGTGGCCTCTTTTTTTATTTTTTGCCCAAATTCCAGCCTCCTGCCATGTGTGGATCTACACTTCATCCTGCACTGTTGTACCATAGACATCCACTTTCCGGTGAACATAGGGCACTGGCCTGTAGAATCAAAAGCTCTACTCTCCTCAAAAATTGTTCCCCTTGGTACTTAGTGTTGATTTGCCTTTCATATCTCTTGATATTCAACATCTCCATCCAATCTTTTCTTGCACCTGCCACCACTTTTAATTCCTTAAAAGGCTCTCTGTTGGATTCTGGCCTCTCATATCCTCCAAAAGACTCTCTTTCCATGGGCATTTTCTAACTAGGCGAAAGGGAAAGAGGGCTAGGGTCAAACAAACAGACAAAGTGATCCTTTGTTGAAGTTGAAGAAACTGCTACTGCTGCACACTTTTTCCCACCAGAAACCATTCTAAACCAAACAGCTTCCAACAGATACTAGTGTGAGAACATTGGTAAGACAGGTGCACTGGATCTTCTTGGTTCTCCCAACATAGAGTACAAATTGAGTCTATACTCATTCCTCTTCCAGCTAGGTGGTTTTTAGTGCCCAAGAAGCCAAGGATCACCTTCCACATAATGTTCTTCAACTTTGGATGCATGGGCAACTTTCAGGTTCTACTCCACCCTGTCACAACTAGCACAAGAGTTCAATGGGTCACAGTTTGGGTTGGTACGATTTTCATACCGTTTAAATTTTACTGGGGTCAGAATCCTTACTGGTTTCTGCTGGGTTCTTTTAAGTGGTGGCATTTCACAAGAGAGAATCCTAGCCACGTGGCATCTTCAGTGTCGTTCATTATTACGTGGAATTACAATCATTTTCAGTTGTACCCTAATTGGCCACATATATATCACGTACGAAATTAAGAAGAGGTTATGTGATACATCAATAAATTATCCATCCACGTCAGCATTTTGTCCATGTGGGGTGATTAATGCAACTTATTTGGCCAAATTGTCTGCTTAGTGTACCTTTTTTGTTAAGGACAATTTAATATCTTGTTTTCGGACAACACCCAACTTGATGTATCTTTTATAAAATTTTGTCCTACAAGTCAAATATAAAGTGATGTAGGGAAGCGTACGAGTGAGAGAAGATAAAAGAAATATTTTCTATCTTAAGTATTATATAAGGCTTCTAAACCCTAACAATTACTTGCTAACCAAGACTAAACATAAATAAAAAATAAATATTAAATGCTAATAATAATATAAGATACTAATTAAACTACCTAATATTCTAATACCAAGAATAATAGATACTATTATGCATCATAAAGGCTCTTGGACAGAGCTTAAATTGCAGAAATTCTATGGCGCCCATATGGGCACCATATGGTGCCATAATCTCACGATCCAACGCCTAATATCCATTCTATCAATTCCACAATGAATATTAGGCGTTAGATCGTGAAGATTATGGTACCATATGTTGCCCATATGGGCGCCATAGAATTTCTGGCTTAAATTGTGTATAAATTTAAGTTCTCCTTGAAAAACGAATAAAATACCTATATATCCTAAGGCACCTTGATACGAGTATAAACTATCTGCAAATTCGAAAGTTCCATGTCATGGGTGTAAAATCTATACAAACTTGAAGGCTCATTGACATGAGTATAAAAGGTCAATAAATCAAATTGTAAACTTTCTTCAACACGAGTATAATTGTATTCAAGTCAAATCAGATTAATTCAAAACTCCTTGAAACGAGTATAAACCATCCGTCAAATCAATTCAAGACTCCTTGATACGAGTTCAAATTATTTACAAAACTGAATTGTAGAAAACTATGAGTTTAAAGTTGAAGAACTTCATATAAGAGTTTAAATTATTTGCATGTCTTGAACAAATTCAAACATTTGAGACTCATTTTGTCCATAAACAATATAGCAATTTTTATTTTAAAACTAATTGTATTTGAAAATTTCAAAATAAAATAGAATTATATTGTGTAGACTGGGTTGACCCACCGTCTAGATCAATGCCAATAGCAATGGGTCAGAGCTGGGTTATCCAAGTTCATATATTGGTTTGAGTAACTAATCCATTTACTTGAATTGACATGAGTCGATAGTTCATATATTGGTTTGAGTAACCAATCCATTTACTTGAACTGGCATGAGTCCGCTCTGGATCGACTCGTTAAACCATTCCTAATTGTAAAACATTTAACATAATATCAGTTGTAACAAATATAGAAGATGATGATCCATCGATGAACTTCCATAATTTTTATTCATATTATCTTTTAAAATACAATATCTCGTGGT